TGTCATGTTCATCAAAAGGACACGTATTGCATTAATTTGTAAAAAGATATTAGAATTTTTTTAATTTGCAAAAGGAGCCTCCATTTAGCATTGTAAAGATGCTCTTGGGCTTCTAACAATGTATATAGCCAAGAAATATATGCCTCCTCAAATGAAATTGCTTTTTTTTTCCCCAAGGATAAATACTGGTTATTTAATAAGCCCTCAGGACTAATGGCAAAATAGGAAACTCATTGTACTCTAACATTAAAATAAAATTTGGCAATGACTTGATGGTTTTACAGCCCTGCTTAAATTATTACTTTCAAAATTGATGAAACATACTAGAATGTTCCACATCAGAAATTTTAAGCAATTAAACCACAAAAATCTGTTAACAATTTTTAATAAAGAATTAAAAAGGAGTGGTAAAAATATAACAAATCCATTCTCACAAGCTAGTTTAGCTTAACACGGCCTATATTCTTTCCCCTTTTAATTCTAAAAGAATTATTCTTCAGTGTCTAAAAGAATTATTCTTAAATGTCTATGATACAACTGGAGACACATGGGAACTCTGTACTTTGCGTTCAGTGCTGCTGTGAATCTAAAATTGCTTTAAAAAATAGTCTTTTAATTAAAACAAAACAAAACAAAACAAAACCACCTGACAGTATTTACCTGGAGTTTCTGTATGAAACATATTTTTTAAATAAACCTTCTGGTTTTCTTTGGTTTGATCTTTCAGGTAAAAAACAAAAATAAAACCAAAACCAAAACCAAAAATACACACAATTTTTAAAAGAATTCAAGTGAAAGCGATCAAAATAAATTAAGTATCATAATGAGAAATCAGATTCCTGTTAATGCTGACCTCTGGGGCATTTGGCACCATTTAATCCTAGGGATAAATTCATCAGTATATACTGTGCACATTTATGAATAAGCATACAATCTGGTTTCTTGTTGAAAAAAATTCACAATTTATATCACACACACACACACATACACACACACCACACACACTCCAACTGAAAGGGGATTTTCAAAGCTAATGAACAAGTTCTGGGTTTGGCCAAAAAGTCTTGGCAAGATGCACAATGATGCCCAGTTCAACCGGGACTCTGCAGGCCTTAAATCCACTGGCTCCTTGGTGGTCTTGGAGAGGACTGTCTAACTCAAATTACCTCATTCTGCAGATGGGAAGTCAAGTGGCTTGCCCACAGAGCCAGTTGGCGGTGGAATTGGCCTAAAAATCTGAGTCTCTAAGCTTTTCATCCAGGAGTGGTAACTCAACTCATTGTTTAAACTCTGGTTGAAATGGATTATTTGGCAAATTCTCTTCGGCTTTTATAAAAGCAGATTCACTTTTAGACTAGAAAGGGCTGAAATGCTATAACCGACGATGCAGTCTATTTGACGATAAAACTAGACTTAAATTACCTGGCAAGCCACATAAAACAGCTGGGGATGCACTGCACGGCATACAACAGGACACACGATGAGCAGTGGCTTAAAGACACGACGGGGTTCTTTCTCTCACACAAGAAGTCTGGTACTGAGGCTAGGGCTGCTAGACATTTTCAATGATGCACTCATGGTCCAGGCTATTCCCATCTTTCTGTATTGCCATCCTTAGCACGGTGGTTTTTGTCTTCATGTTCCGTGGTCAAAATGGCCACGGTAACCGAAGTCTTCATTTCAAGTCCAAGTTGCACGCAGGAAACAGGAGGAACAGGCCAAGGGATGATGGCTTCCTGTCTGTTTTCCTGCCCTAATGCAGCTTGGCTGTTTTACACGGGATGGACACCCTCCTCCCCATTATCTACATCCTACATGCCAGCACTATGTTATCTGGCCGCACTCAGCTGCAAGGGAATCTGTGAGACTATTTTCAGCAGAGCATGTTGTCACTGTGAACAAAAAAAAAAAAAAAAAAAAATCTGGGGTTCTTTTAGAAAGGAAGAAGTGGGAATAAATATTAAGCAGGCAAGTAGTGGAGTCTCCCGGATCATGGAATTCAAATATAGGAATGTAGTTTTCAATTTTCTTATGCTGCCTTTTCAAAAGACAGATGATTCCAGGAAGAAGCCAGAATTGAGTATGAGGTGCTACAACGAAAACCCCCTGGACCTTGAATTCACGGCACGGGGAGAAACGGGGTGGGGGCTGTCAGAGAAAAGAGCAACATCGCACGCGGCTGAGATTTTTCAGAGTCACAGTGGGATTGAATAGATTGATTACAGATTCCAGAACCATAATTAAGAACTTCAAGGTACAGAGATTTCAGAATTAAAAAATATTTCTATGAACTTGCAAAGACTAAAGTGGTGTCGGCCAGAATCGTGGGAATAAGAGGGCTAAACATGTCAGAGGTCTATGGATTGGGTCAAAGGGCGTCCTCCCTTCCTGGTCTCTCAAGAGTTAAAAACGATTCAGGAAAGGGGAGATGAGAAAGGGGGTCGGGGTAAGAATGTTCCGGCAACGTAATCACTGAAAAGTGGCAAAGCCTGTTTGCTTCTTTGTGCTATACTTGACCATGAGAGATGAGACATGGCCCAGATCTGGCCCTCCAGGTAAGAGGTGGACGGTTTCAGTGATTCTGGACTCCGTGTCTGGCGTGGCCATACATCACCTCACACCACACTCAGAGGCAACTAATGGTCTCACTGTGTAGGGGGAGAAGGTGAGCCTGAGAAATTATATAATCAGCCCAGGTCACACACAGTAAATGGGAGAGCTGGGAAAACGAAATGAGTTAATATTCCTATAGCACTCAGCTCCGTGCCTGCAACAATTATTATTGCTGGTGTTATTATTCCTCCCCACCCCAGCATCCATTCATCAACCACTATTGCTTCTCGTACTAATATCAATTATAGTTAATAAGAGTAGAAACAACTACTCTTCATTGTTTACTCATCACCTACTATGTGCCTACTGAAGGCAGTGAGGTTTTATTCTCAGTACATTATCACTGTTCAGTTATAGTCCCACGGTTCTATGCTGGCGCATTGCTTATGATGTAATGGATAAATAATCATGGTCAACCCAGAGGGATGGAGTCCCTATGAGTGCAGAATCCACGTGACCAATCTTTTCACTTTCTACAGAGGGCGTGGCTGTGAGGGGCGGGGTTTCCTGGATTCCCTCTGGCAGTCAGTGCTTCCTGTGCTAACTCTTTGCCGCATACTTTCTACTTTTAATTAATGCTGAGAATACAACAGTGGACAAAAGAGATGAAACTAAATGAAATTCTAGTGGGAAATGATGAAAAAAAAAACCCCAAACCAGAATGTCAAACAGTAATAAACATTATGGAGATAAAGCAGATAAAGGGAGAGGGATTGGTGGGAGGGGGTCATGCAGAGGAGGTGGAATTTTATTTTATTTTTTTTTTAAATTTTTTTTTCAACATTTATTTTTGGGACAGAGAGAGACAGAGCATGAACGAGGGAGGGGCAGAGAGAGAGGGAGACACAGAATCGGAAACAGGCTCCAGGCTCCAAGCCATCAGCCCAGAGCCTGACGCGGGGCTCGAACTCACGGACTGCAAGATCGTGACCTGGCTGAAGTCGGACGCTTAACCGACTGCGCCACCCAGGCGCCCCGAGGAGGTGGAATTTTAAATAGAGTAGTCAGGGAAAGCCTCCCTGAAAATACGGCATTTGAGTGAAGGCCTAAGGAAGTGAGGGAACAAATCAGAAAGATAACAGAGGAAAGAATATTCAGGGCAGAGGAAGGAACAAGTGCAAAGGTCCTGAGGCAGGAGCATGCCTGCTGAGTTCACAGAATAGGGAGGAGGCCAGTGTTGTCACAAAGGAATGACAGGGGGAGGAGGTCAATGGGTGAGTGAGTGACAGTGGACTGTGCGGGGTCCTAAACATTGCCCACACTCTGGCCAGAACCCTAAGTAACACAAGAAGACTCTGGAGTGTTTTTCTAAATGAATTCTTACTGTCCTACAGGTCCAGATTGGAAGTACAAAGACCCGGCAGGGAACCGTTAACAGTAATCCAGGTGGGAGATGACAATGTCTTGCACCAAGATGATAGTAGTAGAGAATGGCGAGCAATGGTAAGATTCTGGATAAAGTTTGAAGGAAGAATCTGAAGGATCAACTAAGGGTGTAGGACAAACAGAGTCAAGGATCTCACTTGTTCCTATTCCAGTAGCTAGAGGATACTTTATACTGACAATGACCAAAAACAGGCTGGACAAGAACCTTCCATCTGTCCCTCGTGGCCATGTGGACAAGTAGAATGTCCTAGATTTACATGCTTATTAACCCACACAACTACATAATGCATAGCATGATGAGGACCGCAGACAGATACTGACTCAGGCAAATTTTTACTTTACCATTTTAGATTCTCCCTCCATGGACATTTTTTTCTTGAATTTGTTCATTACGCATCAGTATTCTGTAACTTCCATATGTTAACAAACAGAAATTTTTCTGGGAGGCACTTGTACTCAAGAGATGGGAAGAATACTTACGGAGTAGCCAAAATATTTCTCAACAAACCTCCTCCTGTGATAAAACCGTGGTTAAGTTTTGCTTCATAGAGGGACTTACTGGGTTCTCCAAGGGGACAAAAGGGTGAATTACAAACTGCTTTAAGAAGGGACTGTTGTTACCGCCAACATTTCATTGTAGCTATTACTAGATAACAGAACTGAGCATTCTTAGCCTCAGAAGTCTCTGCCAGAGGGCAGACACTAAATGGATCATGTTAAGGTAAAGGCAAAAATAAAGTGAAAACCAGAAGTTTCACTTAAATTGTCTCTCTGTTTTATTCAAGTGAGGGGAGCACAGCCTTATACACATGCATAAATGCCAGGTTGGGTAAAAGAAATAGCGTTTGACCAAGACTCTGAATAACACTGGTCTTAACCAATGAAAACAGTGCAACGGATATATTTTTAAAAGACAGGAACAAAATGAAGATTTGTTGGCAGTTCTGCAGCTTTTAAAAAACCTCACGTAGGAATGAGTTAACAAGTCTGATTGGGTTATGCAAGTGTGCTGAAATTGAATAATTAACTAAATGGATGATGGCTGCTGGAAGCCAGGCTTTTCACTGTTGGAATGAGAATTTACCGATAAGTAGAGCAGGTGAAATGATCCATGTGGTAGGAATACAGGAGAGTTGGAGACATCAAGATGAACTCGTATCTGGCTTAATATAGATACAGATGCGTGGCTTTAAGAGTATGTACAGATATGTAGAATACAAGGGTGAGTGTACAGAAATATGTTGCTCCCTCTTTCAGCTGAGAGGACCCAGTAGGTAAGGTACTCTGGAGGCAATGACCACACTTAGCATCCACACCTCAGTTGTTTTTTTTTTTTTTTTCAACGTTTTACTTATTTTTGGGACAGAGAGAGACACAGCATGAACGGGGGAGGGGCAGAGAGAGAGGGAGACACAGAATCGGAAACAGGCTCCAGGCTCTGAGCCATCGGCCCAGAGCCTGACGCAGGGCTCGAACTCCCGGACCGCGAGATCGTGACCTGGCTGAAGTCGGACGCTTAACCGACTGCGCCACCCAAGCGCCCCCACACCTCAGTTTTTAATACCATTCTCCAATAAAAGGAACAAAGGCTTTTTGAAGAAATGGCTGGTTCTAGGGGGTGGTGCAGAAAATATACAACAGGAGCCTGGAGCATCTTGTTCAGAAAAAAAAAAAAAAAAAAAAAAGAAGAAGAAAGAAAGAAAAAGAAGAAGAAGATATTTCAAATAAGCACAAGAGCCCACTGAAAAAGCTCCCAGTGGCCAGCACGGAAATAATTTGAGCCATAAAATGTATCAAGTAGTCTTGGATTATAACTCAAAGTATTCCTAAGTACAAATGACTGAATAACTAAATAAATAAATAGGTGGAAAGGGACAAATATGTGCAGGAGAGTTCCAAATAATCTACATAGATACTCTACCCTCACTCAACGAGGTGAAGCATAAATCTCTACTCCTTTCCTTGTAGGCTACCCATGGTGACTTCCTTCCGGAACACAGCAGGCAATGGTAGAAAAGGGAGTAACTTTACATTGGAGAAAGCTGACAAACCCCACCCCAGCCAGGCGATCGCGGTCAGTATCAATGGTGACATACCAAGTTGATAACATGTGCAAATGACATACGATGAGAAGAGCACCTTACTTCTGTGGTCTTCCAAAACACTCGTGACACCAGTCCAACCATGAGACAATTCCAACACAGGAGCACGACCTAAAATACCTGACGGGTACCCCTGAAAACTGCCGTGGTCATTTAAAACACGGCAAGTCTGAGAAGCTGCTACAGCCGAGAGGAGTCTAAGGAGATCTGACAACCAAATGTGATGGGTTTCCTAAAGGGGACCCTGAAAATTAAAAAAAATCTGAACAAAGCATGAACTTTATCAATAATAAGATTTCAAAACTGGTTCATTGATTGTAAGGAATGTACCAGACCAATGGAAGATGTTAATAATAAGGGAAACTTGGTTGAGGGGGTATGTGGGCATCCTCTGGGCCATCATCTCAATTTTTCTCTAAGTCTAAAACTTCAAGTTTACTTAAAAACTTTTTTGGAAGTCTCCATATAAAATTTCATACCTATTTGCCTTTGCATCACCATTCTGGCCTTCAAAATGGTGTCTGTGAAATTACTATAGCTGCAAAGAAACTGGGGTTAAAAAGATCTTGCTAAGATGGGCTTCTCTTCTATGGCATTTATAATAACTAGACAGAGCTTGGTTTACAGTCTTCTAAGCAAATCTCTCACCGAATCATTTGTGTGATGTGCAGCATTTAAATTCTTTTAAAAACCTGAAGAATTTCAGAGTCCTCACACATATCAATAGGAAAGGAGATGCTTTGGTTTCTAAGTTTAACCTTGACTTAGAAATGTACACGCAACATCATAGAATTCAATTACCCTTCACAAGTGAGGAATCTCATGCTTGAAGAGTAATTTCTGCACAGCTAATAACAGAACCAGGCTGGGCTCCAGGTCTGGCTCAACTGTAATGCTCACTACACCCGAGTAAAGTGTTACCACATTCCACAAATTCTGCGTCACGGCTTCCTGGCTAACCGACCCCAGATTAGTTAAAGCTGTTGCCTCTCTTTCGTTGTATTACTCATATTCATTGTTTTATCAACAATGGGCCTTCTTTGTTACTTACTTCTGTAGTAATTCCAACATCAGTTTAAAAGACAGAATTATGAAAATAATGGCTAAGTCTTTCCAGATCAGGGGTGTACAAACTCTAAAATGCTTCGGAAACCCCTGGTGTGCGGCCTCAGCATCTAGACCCATCCTTCCGCCCTCTGATCCCAGCACCTGCATCTGGGCGTGTGGGATGTGCCTGAAAAACAGACCTCCCCAGAGGGATTCTGATTCAGGTGGTTCACCGACTACACTGAGAAACTGTGCGAACAGCAGGGGGCTTCTCGGGCTTCGAGGCGCACACACATCGCCTGGGGATCTTGTTAAAGCACAGTCTCTGACTGGACAGGTTGAAGGTGGGACCCAGTCTGCCTGTGTAACAAGTTCCCAAGTGATTTGATTCAGCTGTTCCTTCAGGCAGCGAGAATGGACTGAAGGTAATCCATTATAACTAATCTTATTAACGTTTTGGGCTGCTTTGTTTTTTCAGGTTACAGGTTATTATGAAACACTTGTTACAATGGCCTGTCTTTTGCCTTTTCTTTTAATTACGTTAAAATACGCAGAGCATAACGGGGCGCCTGGGGGGCTCAGTCGGTTAAGTGGCTGACTTCGGCTCGGGTCATGATCTCGCGGTCCATGAGTTCGAGCCCCGCGTCGGGCTCTGTGCTGACAGTTCAGAGCCTGGAGCCTGCTTCAGATTCTGTGTCTTCCCCCTCTCTCTGCCCCTCCCATGCTTGCTCCCTGTCTCTGTCTCTCAAAAATAAATAAACGTTAAATATATATATATATATAATCAAGCTATTCATGCCTTCTTCCCATAAGCCTGGGTCTTGTCCCATAGATTTCTCATTCTGGCACAATTTTAGGAATAGGGTAGGAAGAATTCTGCATTTGAAGCCGGAAGGGAGAAAGTGACAGAGTGACTCAGGAGGATTTAGTGATTCCCATGCATGAAAAGGGGAGGAGAGTGATACCTTCTGACCACAGGAGCTCAGATAAGATGCGGGACAAGGATAAAAAATTAACACCTGAAACAATTTGGTTTAATTTTAAGAGATCATCTCTGCTCCCACTCAGTATTGCTGAATCCCACTGTGGACCCAGCTCCATGGAGGAGACACAGAGTCCTTCATAAAAGAGCACAGAAGAGGGCTGTCCACTGGAACACAGGCCACAGAAGCAGTTTTAAGTTTCTAGGAGTCACATTAAAAAAGGTCAGCTGAGTTTTGGTAATAGTCTTTATTTCACCCAGCAGATCCTAAACGTTGTCATTTCAACACGCAATCCATGTAAAAAATTATCCCTAAAACGGTCTACATTCTCCCCCCGCCATTTTCCAGACTAACTCTTCAATATCTGCCGTGTATTTTACATTATGGCACGTGTCAGTCTGGACTGGCCACAATTCAAATGCTCAACAGCCACACGGGGCTGGTGGCAACCATAGGGCAGTACTAGCTTGGGGTCAAATTTCAGAGATCAGGAATATCTTTCAACGAGTGAGCCGTTGGATGTGGGCAGGTTGAGGTTATGGGGTAAAATCTGAATCCAAAGATAAAAGCCTACACGGAGAAATAAACCCCAAGTATGAATACACTGAAAAGGCTGTATTCATAGTTCTATATGCTATCAGAATGCCAGACATTTTGTTTTGAGTTTATTTATTTATTTTGAGAGAGACAAAGAGCACAGCAGGGAGGGGCAGAGAGAAAGAATCCCATGCGGGCTCCGGGCCGTCAGCACAGAGCCCGATGTGGGGCTCGAACCCATAAACCGGGAGATCATGACCTGAGCAGAAAACAAGAGTCGGACGCTTTACTGCCTGAGCCACCCGGGCATCCCTGGAATATCGTACATTTTAATCACCGAGAGGAAGATCACTACAATTCAGTTTGTTACCACCATTAACCCTATTTACCAGCAAACAGCCCTTTTCTCTCACTTCTCCTTTTGCAGTTCTCATATTTTAGTTTTTATTTATAGAGTATGTGATCAATTCGGATGTGGAAATTTAAATCAGGCTTCCTTTATACCTAAGCCTCCTCAGCTTTAGCCTAGCCCAGTGTTGAATATCGAGAGGAGAGGGGGAAAAGCAGAAAAGTAGAGGGATAGTGTCCTAAATCTTTATTCTGTCTCTCAGAAACACAAGTATCCTCACTGGCTGCTTTCTCCTAACACTTTCTTTCTGCCTTATTAAAATATTCATAGCCTGATAGATTTTAAAGATGCAATTAATGAGGGTTATATATGGGCCTTTTAAAAAGCCCCATAATTGCTAACAAAGTACCAATCAGCGTGAGGTGCCGTGAGGCCAGAGAACCACCACTTATTACCAAAACCTTAAATTACACAGAGAGGTAAAAATACACAGCCCGTTTTTTCCCCATACCATACTCAGAAACCCACGTGTGAGGTAGGCCGTCATCAAGACAGGAAGAGGCATTTTCACGGATAAACCTCTCAACAGAGTTGGGGACTATCACTTCCAAACCCCTGACTGTCTTTTTCCAGACCATTACCATCTGGCCTTGCTGGAACAATCTTCCTCAAGTCTTCTCTCTCTCTCTTTCTCTCTTTTTAAAAAAAAAAAATTTTTTTTTAACGTTTATTTATTTTTGAGAGACAGAGCATGAGCGGGGGAGGGGCAGAGAGAGAGAGAGGGAGACCCAGGATCCAAAGCAGACTCCGGGCTCTGAGCTGTCAGCAGAGAGCCCAATGCGGGGCTCGAACTCACCAACCATGAATGAGATCATGATCTGAGCCGAAGTCGGATGCTCAACTGACTGAGCCACCCAGGCATCCCTCACTGATTCATCTTTTAATAATTCTGATTTTATCATCTCAAGTCAGTTTTTAATGTAGATAAATTTTTATCTAAGGAGTAATAATTGGATCAGAGGCTGAATATAAGATTATGCTATTAGCTTTGCCATTTTATATTCGCTTCAGGCCTCCTATATTGTTTGATTATCTAGGTTGCAGAATATAAATAAATGTGTTTCATTAAAAAAAATAGTAATTCTGATTTTAAAACAAGACAACCACCCTCTACTTTCTGCTCCTACTTTCTCATTCAGATATAATCGGCCCCTGAACAACACGGGTTTGAACTGTGCGGGTCCACTCACACACAAAATGTTCTCAACAAACACAGTACAGTACTCTTTCCCTTAGGATTTTCTTAGTAACATTTTCTTTTCTCGGCCTTACTTTATTGTAAGAATACAGTATATAATATGTACAACATATGAAGTATGTGTTAAGTGACTTTATGTTATCAGAAAGGTCAAGAGTAGACCACTACTAGTTGAGTTTTGGGGAGTCAGAAGTTATATGTGATTTTTTGACTTTGTCGGGGCTCAACACCCCTAAACCCCATGTTGCTCAAGAGTCAACTGTATTGTCATCCATGCCTAGGGGTTCAACAACTTCCTCTAGTCTTTCAATGTTGACTTTTCAGTTGACATTCCAGTCACTAGCTGGACACCTACTTGAGAGAGTACTGACTTTAGCAAATGGACACCTGACCGCCAAATTTTAGAACTGTACCCAAAGAATAATAAGCACTTCTTCACTGGGTCAGAATCTTTTTGTTTTTTTAAATGATTATTTATTTATTTTGAGAGATACAGAGAGTGAGAGAGAGTGCAAATGGGGGAGGGGTAGAAAGACAGAAAGAGAGAGAGAGGGAGAATCCCAAGCAGACAGAGAGCTGACAGCACAGAGTTCGACGTAGGGCTCGAACTCATGAACCATGAGATCATGACTTGAGGCGAAATCAAGAGTTGGATGCTTAACCGACTGAGCCACCCAGGCGCCTCAGGTCAAAAATCTATCTTATGTGGAAGCAAGAGAAGGGAATAGCGCCAACATCCAACATTT